GACCCAACTAAAAAAAAAATAAAAAATTCTTGAAACAGATTCTCTAAATATCTTTCTTCGTGAGTTTAACATGATACCCATTTGGAAATTGCAAACCAGGAGTTCGAATTATGTTTCCTCCACTGATTTCTTCCCATCTGATCAAATCCAACGAACCAAAAATTTATCAAAATCAATAACCATTATTTATTCTCTGTTTTCTATCAACATGTGAAAACAAACAAACAAAAAGTGTAGCTGATAAAGAAGTTGTTGAAACCTGTATTTTGTGACTAAACTATGAAGAAAAACAGCCATTTGGACTTTGGTGAAGTCAGTTCCAACACAGAATCTCATTCCGCCGCCAAACGCCAAGAAATTCTTCGATGCATTAGTCGATTCTGATCCCTGTGTGTCCATTGGTATGATTACTTTTGTTTTGAAAACATTTTACAGGTTAATTAGGAGTAGAAGAAGATTTTGATGAACTTACTTCCCATCTAGATGGATTGAAGACAAGAGGATCTTGATACTTGTCTGGATTCATATGTACTGCTGGTGGACAGACCATCACCGCCCAACCGGCTGGAATCGTATAATCTTTCAGTAACATTTACAATTTCATTAGTTGAATCAATCTAAACTGTTATGTGTTGTTTGCTCGGTGACTTGGTTCATTGATCATACCTTTATATTGGATATCTCTCAAGGCTTTTCTGAATATTGCAGGAACTATATTCGCTAGTCTCACTGTTTCATTTATGAACTGTATTTCAACATTTTGTTAGATGAGAAACACACATTATAAAGTTAGGCTTAATGATTTCTTATAATCTACCTGAAATGTGTAAGTCATTGATTTGTATTCTTTCCATGTAATTCCAGTGTCCGCTTCTTCACGGTTTCTCAGAATTGCCTCATGCTCTTCCTGATAAAGATGAAAATGTTTTGGTAATGATCATAAGCTAATGAGTTTATTTTAGAGATATGAGTCCTTTTCGTTTTACTGACCGTTAAACGTTTTAGGACTGAAGGATTGCCTGAGAGGAACTTGATGGCTAAAGTTAAAGCGAGTGAAGTTGTTTCGAAGCTGGCGAAAAGCAAGACAAACATCAAGTCTAGTGCAATTTCTTCTGTCAGAATTGTCCCTTCTTTCTTAAGCTCTTCGATAACATAATCGAAGAAATCACTCGGATTCTCTCTTGGCTTCTCACGCCTCTCCTCAAGCATATTCCTCAACATTTTCATTGCCTTTTCCCTCCCCTGCAAAAACCAAATTAAGCATGAGTACTACTATATCAAAGAGATTCATTGTAATACAAGTAACCTGGAAGTGTTGTCTAAGTAATAACCTTTAAGCACTTGTGATAAGCTGTCCCTGGGATGTCAATAGGAAAGGAGATTAAACCGCGTATAAACGCAACAAAGTTTTCCCTTAGATTCTCTGAAGACTTCTCTGGATCATGACTGATCAACTTTTTTGCGGTGAGATCAAATATCAACTGATAAAAAAAGAAAGTAATATTAAGCAAGTCAGAAACTTATGAATGGTGTAAGAGTATGTTCTTGAAACTCACGCTTGCCGTTGAATCTTTCAGTTCAAATGAATCTTGATTTGACCAAAGCTCTAACTTCTTACATGCACTTTGTTCAATTTCAGGAAGCATCTTCTTGAGACTTTCATGACCAAAGAGACTCAAGACCATATGCTTAAGGTACTTATACATAAACCCATGTAACGATCCCACGTTCTGTTTTCCAAAGATCTCAGTGAAAGTGTCTGGATACCAACTCTGGAAACAACGACCTTCTTGTTGAAACACGAAATAACTCAAATCAGAATCTGTTGATACAATCACTGGTCTCCCCACAAGGTTGGTCTTAAAGATTGGTCCATACCTACAAGACAAATGAAAGGATTTTAAAATTTGGTAGATACAATAAAAACTCATGCAAGAAAGATGAAAAACACTCACTTCTTAACTCTCTCTTTGATAAAATGTGAGATGTCTGAAGTGGTGTTTGGTTTGAAGAAATGAATCGTCTCGCCAAGAAGCGGTATTCCCATAGAACCCGGTGGAAGCTTCCCTCTGCATTTTGGGTTACTCCATTTGTAAAACCAAACTATAATAATGCTTATCAAAAGCAGAGAAACCCAAATGCACAATGCACACAACATCACTCTAATATGTTTGATCTTTTTTTTTTTGTTAAAGATGTTTGATCTTTTCTTAACTATGAAATCTCTTATTTCTTCTGGTTTGTTATGTGTTTGTGTTCTTGA